TCAAATATATGATCTCGGAAGCACTCCAACAGTCTTTCATGGATACCAAGCTTAGCACGTCAAATCTACCGTGGATATGGGTGATTGAAACATTGGCAAGTTCCGATGAGATAGACACTTCTTTACTCATCGGTATGTCTGAAATTACTACTGCTTTGTGACATAATAGCTGTTTTATTAAATGAGATAATGGCTGCTTTGACATTTCTGGTATATGCATAACAGATTTGGTTAAGCAGACTCCTGAAGTTTCATATGATATGGGGAGAAATGCAAGGGAACTGGTCTCTTTGAGATTTTTAGAGACCTTGTCTGTCCAGGAAATGTCAAATGCAAATGATGTCGCTTCAATTCTGAGTGATAAAATTGAATTTGACCGATCAGTGTACTCTGAAGATGTCCTCCGTCGCTTATTCTCGGGGGTAAGTATCTTACTTTTACTTATTAAATTTAGATCATATGATTCAGTATCTCAGTTTATGATTTTTTTTCTTTAACTTTAGTAATTCATTTTACAAGGCCGTTCTCCGCTTGAGAGTTTCGAATGATGCTGTTTTTTCACTTGCTTAGATGTGCATTATGTACATTTGACCAGGTTTCATCTGATCAGAAAATGGCTGGGCCTGAGGTGCCCAAATGGGATGTTCAGTCATTTATTACCAAGAAAAGATCTTGCTTGCCAAAATGTGCTCTGCAACAAGTAAGCTAATCTTAATTTATATGTGGAATTTGATACGTTTGCACATCTGCAATGTACCTGTCTGATTATCTGGGAATTGGGATTTGCTTTGTTTTTAATTGACAATCAGATTAAGGATGCTATTCTAGATACTACAAATCCTCTTTGTGCATCCTTGAGAGAAAAGAGTGGATTGGAGGTCGGCAGTCACTCCAGAGATGGAGATCGTTTTAATGCTGTTGATTTAAATGGCATTAAGCAGAGTCATGAAGTAAGAGGCACTGATGGTCAACATGAACATGTTTTACCAAATGAGAATACAATTCCTCTTTCACCGGGCAATGAGAGTGGCCTGCAAGATAATCAACCGAGGACTCTGGTGCCTTCTAAGAGGAGAATCGATACCTTTACTGTTAATGAAGGAAAATACAGCGAAACTGAACCCATATCAAAGGACAGTTCTGATCGTTGCGTAAAGGCCTCCAAAAAGTTTAAACAGGAAGTCATTAGTTCCAGGTGCAATGTAGTTCATGGTTTTGAATCATCTCAAAGAGATGGACATTCAGCAGAATTATCTGCTGGAAATCCCCATGCTATCGTCCGAAAAGGGAACTTGGAAAATAGATCTCTTGTTGGAGGCTTGGATTGTAGTTGCGAGTGTGCTGCATCAAATATGGTTAGACAGAGCATTGGTCATGATGAGCTCTTGCCTCAAAAAGTGATTTCTGAGGGAAAGATTCAAAATGTTGGAAGTAGCAGCAAACCTTCTACTGAATTGAGAACATCAAGTGGCTCATCACAGCAGGTAGTTCATGAAGATTCTCGCATTCACGGAACTGAAGAACATCGGGAGTGCAANTTCATGGAACTGAAGAACATCGGGAGTGCATTCGGGGAGATTTATTCAAAGATGAACCTTCTAAAGGAGCCAAAAAGAATGCTATGGAAGATGATAAACCTGAGGTCTCTAGTGACAGTGATGGATATCACAATGAGAAGACTGGCCTTTCAGCAAAGAGAGATGATTTCGTTAACTACTCTCAATGCACTCAGGGTCAAGATTCCTTAGCAACTCAAAATGGTAGAGAGCTCAATCTCTGTGTGAAGTGTAATGAAGGTGGGCAACTGTTGGTTTGTAGTTCAGGCAGCTGCCCTTTGGTGGTTCATCAGAGCTGCTTGGGTTCGGTCCCCAGCTTCGATAATGAAGGAAACTTCTATTGCCCCTTTTGTGCATATTCTCAAGCAATTTCTGAGTACCTGGAAGGCCAAAAGATGGCCTCTCTTGCTAGGAAAGATTTGGCTTCATTCGTTGGTGTTGGAGCTAGGCGACGATCAAAGAAATCCTCACGTAGCTCACATGGAATAAAGAAGAATCAGTCTAGAGAGGATGAAGAATTGTGCCATGATAATAACATTAAGGGATCTTTGAATAAAGTCACGGGACCCAGGAGTGCTCCAGTCAGTAGAAATTCCTTGGACGGTGAAGTTATGGAGATGCCTTCACCTCAACCAGCGGCGTCTGTACCTCATGAACCCGTGGCAGCTGGACAAAAATCCAAGAAATCGCCACCCAGATCGCATAGATTAAAACAGAAGCTGTCCAGAGAACAAGAAGAACTGTGTCCCAATGAGAACAGCAATAAGAACTCTTTGAATGAGGTCCAAGAACCAGGAAACGCTCCAGTCTGTAAAAGTTCTCCGAATGCTGAGGTTGCACAGACTGGCTCACCTCAAACAGAGACCTTTGCACCTCCTGAACTTGTGGGCGGACAGACTTCTTTTGTAGAAGAAAGTTCTGAAGATGAAGATGCGACTGCTTCCAAATATTATATTGGATTCAGGAATGCAGACAAGACCTAGTAAGTCTTTCACTTGAAAACCGCTCAAGTTTGCAAAACCATCTGGTTAGTGTGTTTATTCTTCCAAAAGATTCATCATTCTTCTTCAGCTTTTCAGGATCTGCAATGCTTAAATGAACACCATGCAGATATTTTTTCATAAGAATCTCTTTATGCTTAACTGAAACAGTGTTATGGTTGTTATTGCCGTTGGAATATGTGATGTTTCATTTGTTATTTTTCTTCTTATTTTCCCCTCTGCACCTTGATCATGGAGAAGCATTAATCATTTGCTAGAGCATTGTGATAATACAGTATTTAGTTTCTTTAGATTTGCAGTACCTATCTTGCAATTCCTCAAGTGAGGCAGAAGCACCTCCATCGAAAAAGTAGAGGAAGAAGCACTAAAGGTACTTGCATCTTCTTTTTATCTAAAAGTTTTCTTTTTTCTGTTTTCCTATGCAAGTTCTGTCCTTTGTACTGTCGTTGCAAAGCACCCAATTGCTCTAGTAAAAGAGAAATTATGCTATACTTTATTTCATTCATAAATTTTAAGGTCAATGGTTTAATTTTTTTTGTTTTACGTGAGAGTTACAGTTTGTTTCTGCTTTTATTTATTTTTAAGGATTAATAGGGGACTCCGCATGATATCTACATGCCTTTACACCTAATAACAGAAAGTTTAAAGTAGTTAGCACTCTGTACCTATTGTTTCTTATTAGTGTTTTCTGCTACTTCTGCAGGAGGGAGTGTACATATTTTCAAATATTTTCGGATAGATGAAAGAAGATTTTGGAATCTGGAACTGATCGGTCTCAGACGGTCCCCTTTTAAGATTTTACCGGCTAGGACTGACCCCCAAACTAGGTTTCTGAATCTATTGGAGGCTCAGACCGAGTCCTTACCAGGTTTAGTGGCATGTGAGTAATGAGGCTAGCCATGCACATGCACATTGTACATTGTTCTGGTAATCTTTTGTCCTTGGTGGGTATAGAAAAGGCTTAAAAATAGTGTACTATGCCCCTTTACTAAGTTTAGTGGTATGCTAGCGAATAATTGCACATTGTGTTTGTAAATATTTGGACCCTAGGATGGGTATAGAATGGCTTAAATAGTTTGTGTATGTGAAATTGTGAATTGAGCTATAAAGCTAGTGAAGAAATACATATTGTTCATGTAGTTTTTTGCCCTCTGGGGGCATAGATCGTAAGATAGTAATGTCCTTAGTTAGTACAACCAACTTGTATGATCCCACGGGTGTCAATAGATCTTTAAAAATCGATTAAATCAATCGAATCAAACCGATTATTAGGTTTCTTTTAATAAAATCGTAAGTTTTTTTTATATAAATTTATAATCGTGTCGATAAGTAGGATAGGTTTTTAATTTTACAAAAATAAAGCATGAATAGGCCAAATATTTTTATATAAGAAAAATATATTTTATATAATAAGTTTAAAAATAACAAAACGTTTATTTTTTCTTGGGCCTTGTGATTGTGGAAATGTTTACAAGCCAACAAGTAATTAAACCCAAAGTTTCAACTCTCAAACTTATTATGAGACTCTTATTAAAACTAAATTAGTTCTAGCTAGCATCTTGAGTAGAATGTAACAATCCAACTCGCTAGTGATATTATCTGTGAGGGCATAGGCCTAGAGCGAACAATATCATTAGCGGGCTGGGTTGTTACATAGCAAGTCATAGGTATTCCAACGATCTTGTATAGCAAATTATAAGGTATTAAAATATATTTCTTCTCGTGTGATTTGGAATTTTCTTATTGGATACTTAATCTTCTAAAGTTCTAATATACTATTCTTCAGTTCAATCTTGATTAGTGTATTCCAGCTCGTTGATATATATTTCTTTTGGGTTTGCTTATCTCTTATGTTGTAGTAGAATAGCAGGATAAATCTCTATTCTAGCTATTTTTATTTTTTCCTTGGTTCATTGTCTTGTAACTGTAAAAACATTTAGAGAGTTTTGCCGAAATCTTAAGTTCGTATCTTTTCGTGTTCTAACTTCTATTAGCGAATCTTACATGATATTTTCAGAAAAATATCAAAAATTAATCAAACTGATACCAAAGAGATCGAGATGATTGAGACGATTTCGAAAAATCTAATTTTAATTATACAAAATAGAGTAACCGAAAAATTAGTATGGTATAAATTTATAAAATAACTGGTCGAACCGAACCATTGAGACCCGTAGATCCTACTATGATGTCAAGATTATAAAGAATCTCCCACCCGTGAAGCACAAATATGGACATGGACCGCTAGTTGAAAATAAAAGTAGGCTAATTGAAAAAGGGCACATATTTTTATTTTAAAAAGGTATATATGTAATTTTTTATTTTAATAAGGTTCATTGTTTTGCACGTTTTTTATCAAAACTATTTCTTCAAAAAAAAAAAAAAAAAAAAAAAAAAAAAAAAAAAAAAAAAAAAAAAAAAAAAAAAAAAAAAAAAGAGGAAAGGTAGAAAAATTGTTCATCACTTTCACTAATATTTGAAAAACTGTGTGTTCCTAAACGGTTGAAGAAAAAGAAGTCGTTAAATTTAGAAAGTCTCCACCAGCCACCCAACCCCGCTTCAGTTTCAATCCCAAATTTCTTGTCCACGTTCCACTTTACGGCTGTCTTAAAACATTTTTCTGCATTTAAGAATTGATATACAATTTGTAGCTTTCCAACAATTTCCCTGATACAGTCAGTATTAATCAAGATTCAAGCATCGAACCAAATTGCCAACTTTTGGATTTGTTCTATCCACAACACACTCAGTTCTTTGAAGTTTTCTGCCTCCTCCTTAAAAGAGTAAGTCTTTATTTGCTTGCTTATCTTTTTTTCTTACGTTAACTCACCTGGGGTTGTTTATATGGTATAAAAGTTGATCTTTTTTGCTACATGTTATAATCTTATTCCTATCCTTTGCTCAAATTTGTCATTTACTCATACAATTATGTGGTGTGGGGATCGCTCTATACGAATATATATAGGAGCTTTATCAATCAATTTTGAGGATCCATATTACAGTTCATCTGGTGTTAATTTGGGGTTAAAAATCTTTGCTAGAATCCTTCCCCAACTTTCTGTGACGATTAAAAGGCAAATCATTTTGTTTATATTGACTGTTACTGCAGACTTTTTGACTGATAATTACCGGTGTACAAACCGAACCGGAAACCCGCACCAAACCTAGAAGTCAAACCAAACCGATTAGAAAACCCGACTAGGTTTGGTATTGAGTAAAAAACACGAACCAAACTGACATATAAATATATAATTTTTATATATACTTGATTTGGTTTGGTTTCGATAAAAACCGAACCAACCCGATCCATGTACTCCCCTACCGATAATGATGCCTTACCGATAATGATGCCGTCCTGGATGTGTTGGAATCCTTACACTGCTGAAGGACTCATAGCCAGCAAGCTTTTGTATTATGCCTTAACACTAGCTTGGTACTTGATCTGTTATTAATAAAATGTATCTTCTTCATAAAAAAAAAATAAAAAAAAAAAAGAAAAGGACTAAGTGCAAGACGACAAGAAAATAGTGAAGGCACTTAATAAAATATTGAGATATCTATAACTGAAGTGAACATGCCCATATTTATCACATCCTCCTTATACTGTTTTGATAGAAGCTAGGACAAAATTTTGATGTTACCATTTTGATTGATACACTACCATTGGTTAAACAATGGTTGTGCCACCAACGGAATTCTATTGTAACCTACGAGTTTTTCATTCAGAATCCAATTCCTTTTCTGTCAACCATTACAATAAAAGCATACTTCATCGACTCAGAACGTGCACCACAAAATAATTTTCGAATGTTCCCTGGTCTTTATTCTCAAACTGAAGCTGCACATAATGAGTTGATAATTCAGACCGACTTTGAAGGCACTTCTAAAGAATAAGAAGCCCATTCAATTGAAGTAGCCTCAACTCAGGTAATATTTAATGCATTGTTGACTAATATCCACTGCTTTTGATCATGAGTAATGTTAGAATAGATGGAGATGAGATAAAGTTCCTGTCTTTAGGAAAGCTTGAAATCAACAAATATCGTGATTTTTGTTTTTCACGAAAATTACTCCAAAAGAAAAATCAAAATAAAACAAAATGTCATTTGTGTACAATTTTGAGAATTTGCGTGACATTTTGGTAATTATTTTGTCCGTAAATGTTTACCTTGTTTTAGTTATTTAAAAAATACAAAAAATATATGTCGCATGCATACTTAGGATTTAATTGTGCATTTAGAAATCAATTAAACCATAATTTTGGTTTTCAAGGGGGAAATCACAAAAAAAAATATGCATTTTTATTCTAATTGTCGTCATCGTTTGATTTTTATTTTTATTAAACGTTTTAATTTGTGTGTTAATTATTGTTGAATGTTAATTAATATTCGTGTAGTTTAATTTTGGTTTTAATTTAATTAGGAATTTTTGTTTAAATTAAAAGAATGAAAGGGGAGGAAAATACTGGATTTGGGCCAAAAAATCCATTTGAAAATCAGGCCCAATTCGTTACACTGACCCAGTCCACGACCTGGGTTTCCAAACGACGTCGTTTAGATGTATTTGATCTGAGCCGTTCATCTCACTTCATCTAACGGCTCTAAGCTTTCCTAGTTACCCGACCCACTGGTACCCGGATCGACCCATTCCCAACACTAAACCAAACGACGTCGTCCCCCTAAGTGCAAAGATCAAGGCCGTTGATCACCAATGATCCAATGGCCGAGATTCAACTCCCCCATCCCGTATATAAACCCCCCTCTTTTACCCCACGCCCCCTAAACCGAACCCCCCTTTTACCTTCGTCCCCAAACCTCGGAGACCAAACAAACCCTCCGCCTTCAACCACCATGCACCGCCCACCGGAAATCGCCTCACGGCGGTTCCGGTGGTCCAAACAACCCCATCTTCACACCATAGAACCCCATCACCCTCCTCTTTCTGAATCTACCTTCTATTGTCCTCGAATCCCAGTAGTATGTCTCGAATATCAGATCGAAAACCAGTCAAAGACCTTAGTTCACCCGACGACCCCCAAATTAACACCCTTAGATCATCTAACCACCCCCAATCCAACACCAGTACCCGTTTGCATCGAATCATTTTCGAGCTTCTCGAATCCTTGTTTGAAGATTCGAGCAAAGCCCGGACATACCCCAACCCACCCTAAACTCACACCCTGGCATCCTCTAACCTCCCTCATACCTGAGACACACTGGTTTCCTTTCAAACCTGGTTGGAACCGTTCGAACCCTAAAATCGAACCAAGAACCCTAGAAAACCAAAAGCTGGAATCAGTCCGAAAGGGAGAAAATTTGGGTGTCCAATGGACCTTAGTCGAAGTGTTCTCAGTTGAGAACACTCGATTAAGGTCCCTTCGACCTCAAAAGATTCGAGTCAAGTGTTCAACCTGGGTTCGTCTAGTCTTGTATTTGTTTAAGGTACTCCTTTCCTCCTCTCTTGTTGTTTAGGTGGTTATAATTTAGCCTCGTTTGATTGATCCCATTTTGCCCCATCAGACCTTTTATTGGATCCAATTTTATTATCATTTCTGCTTGTTGTCATTTGTTGTATGCTGTAATGTGTTGTCGATTAGTCTGATATGTTTGAATGATAGAGTAGCATGATAATTAGTCTGATGTTTAGTTCATTCTTGGCTGTGACCCCTCCTGCCTCGTTTGTGTTCTGAATGTTGTGTTAAAATGGTTTCCTGGGTAATATTTGAGTTCAGATTTGAGCCTGTGGGTGTTTTCAGTTCATTGAGCTGAATTTATGGTTCGTTTGTTCAGTCTGAATTAGTCAACCCCGTTTTTGAAACTCTGCTGGTTGTTCCCTACTTTTGCACTCCAAATCTGTTTAGGGCATATGCTGGTCAGGTTGATCTCAGTCCATCTTGTTTTGCTGAGTTTAAATATGATTGTTTCCCCATTTATAGTTAGTTCAATATATGCTGCCCTGAACTTTTAGGTTTCATTCTAAATGCCATCTGATTTAGTATCTTGAATTACTAGCTGATTTGAATTGGTTGTAGCTGTTGTAACTAGTTGGATTCAGTTTAGTGAATGAGTAGGTTTGAATAGGTTGTTGATCAAAGTCTGTATCCAGCACTTAAGGGGTTTGGGGTAGGACAGTGAATCACATGGGTTTCAGAGGTAATTTGGGGATTTCAAAACTTGGAAAAAGAGGGTTAACTTGAGTGGACTGTCAGGAAGTACCAATGTACCATTAATCTAATGCATTTGTTTAAATAAAGTTGGGAACAAAAGATAATGGTATGGGGGAGGTTTTGTTGGGGAGTGATTAAATAAATGTTGCCCATAATCTTTGGATTAAAAATAGGATAGGACAAGTGTAGTGGGGAACAAAACATACAATAGTGGGCAAAAGAATGAGGAGGGGGCAGAATATTTTTCTGATTTTAGTTTTTGAGTGCTCTTAAGAGCTGGAGTGTGGGATCTTTTGGCATATATACAGAGCCACTGATAGGCAGCAGGGAAAAAGAAAAAAAAAAGAAAAGAAAAAGAAGATAGAGAGAGAACTTAGGAGAGAGTGGACAGATTTTTTTTCAGATTTTGAGAGCTGTGAGCTGCATCTATCAGGCCTTCCTTTGAATGTCTTGAAACATCAGTAAACTACTGTTGTCTCGTACCTATCTCCCTTCTGCTTTGGCTGTAAAGCCTGTGATTGCATTTTGGTTTTGCTGGGTTTTCAATTGTTCGCTCTTGAGTTTGTTGGGTTTATTTACTACTGCTTCCATTGGTTATAGCTGAATTTTTTCACTGGGATTTATTCTGCTTATTGTTACTGTTGTTGTTGTTGTTGTTATTTGCGGAACACTACTGTTGCTTCACTGATCTTCATCTTCTTTCCTTGCTTTCCAAATACCAGGTACACAAAACTGAATACACTGGTACATCTTGTAAGCTACTCGAAGCATGAATGCAAAAAATGGGAAAAATTTGAATCTGTAGTTTAATGTAGTCTTTTCTCTCTTTTACTGTCTGTATTTAGAACATTCTATGCACTGCCCATGTAAACTCTGGTTACATACTGAATCCCATTTGTATATATGTTAGCTAGTTGCCTTAACCAGAATCAGGTGGTTGTTGTTTATGTATAACATGGGCATTATCCTATAGCAGTTTAAGTTGTAAACTCCTTCCCCGTAGGCTTTTAGTTTAAATGGACTAACAGTATAGTTGTAACATTCTGCTAGTTCAATTTGTTCGATTAAACAGCATTTTCCAAATACATATCAGGCCTTAGGTGATTACTCAATAGTTCAAACTATTTTAGTTAACAACTTGTTCATCTAAATTCGTAAAAAAAAAACGGGTTTCATTGGGAATCACTTTCATTTCGGGTTCTTAAAGTTTGAACATGTGTAGAATCATTTGGATAAGCCCAACATCTTAATAAGGATGGCGCAGGTCCAGTTTTACTCCTTATACATTGGACCTGGGCCCATAATTGTTAACCGACTGCCCTTATTGTATTGTCTTCAGATTTAACGACTCACTTTCGAAACTCAACTATAATAACTCGTGAGTATGTAAATAAGCTAGAACTCTTTTCTTTCATTGTAGAGACGAACGAGATAGAAAACATAGTCACTATAGGTAGATCCTTTTAAAACAGAAATGAGGCGTGCCTCGCCAAACAAAAGTGCAAATTGCAGGGCCATCAATAATTGGCCATAGTAAAATACTTAGAATTTGGGATGAGCCGTTTAGCGAATTTCACTGCCTTCCTCAAAGATAATATCGCGTTAGACTCTTTAGGCGCGATTTTTATTTATTTACATTCTTAAATTCGGGTGCGCATTTATGTGACCCAAATTCAAATCTCAACGGTGTCGGAATGTATCAACAACCACAGGTGCATTGATTGCGACGTGGTTCGAGATGTATTTTCATGACGTTGCAATTCCATAAAAATAATAAATAATAATAAAAGTGGTTTAAACCTAATAAAAGCACACAAGTTATAACATGTATTAAAATCAGATATTTAGCCATTATAACAATTTAAGCGACCGTGCTAGAACCACGGGATCCGTGGGTGTCTAACACCTTCCCTCGGGTCAACAGAATTCCTTACTTAGAATTTCTGGTTCGCAGACTTCATTTGGAAAGTCGAAAATTTCCTCGATTTGGGATTCAAGATAAACCGGTGACTTGGGACACCAAAAGCCAAACCTNTGGTTCGCAGACTTCATTGGAAAGTCCGAAAATTTCCTCGATTTGGGATTCAAGATAAACCGGTGACTTGGGACACCAAAAGCCAAACTTTTCCCAAGTGGCGACTCTAAAATAAATAAATAATCCCATTTTCGAATAATGTCACTTAAATTGGAAAAACTCCCTCACGCATTTACCCTTCGGGGCAGGCACGCAAAAAGGAGGTGTGACAGCTCTGGCGACTCTGCTGGGGATAAGAATCGGAATCTCTGGTTCAGGGTTCAAGAATTCGAGCTTAGAATAATTGTTATATTTGGCTTTATTATCTGATCTTTATTACATGTTTGGGCATAACGTGCTAAATGTTGCCTTTTACCGCTTTGATATTATGTGAACTATATATAAACTGTGCCGAAACCCTTCTCTTCTTACCTCCGGGGAGGAGCTTGCTGGTCAAGACTCCCTATTCTATTAGTGTTAATACCCTGGAATAAGAAAGAGGCCGGACAAGTTACAAAGCCGGACGATCTCACGGGTCCCCGGTATGTAGCCCCCTTCTCGACTCGAGTTGTCAGCTCGGGTACACAGTCTAGAACAAATACCCAGGTTATAAACCTAGTATAACGAAACCTCATGCCGGATCCCTAGTAGGAACGCTTATTTGCATTATGTTGCATTTGACATAGGGGACTCAACATAGGGGTTGAGTCCGTCTAGGACAAGCAACCTGAAATGAAAAAAAGACCATCCTGCTGCATCCTGTTTGTTTTGCACATTTATTTGCTGCAGACTTGCATGTTGACCGGTTTCTGAAAATACTTATTGAAAAAAAAATAGCAGTGTAGGGAGATAACTATTTATTTTTCTAGAAAAATAACCAATGTCAAAATACCGCCGAATTTTTAGAAAAAAAAAGAAGAATTTGTTAAAAATGGTTGTTTATTGATCGAGAAAATGAAGAAGGTAAATAAAAAAAAAGAGAAAAGTTTCATTTTTAAATAGTTTGTTGAAAAAGAAAATACACAGAGTTTTTTTTTTTTAAAAAAAATGGTTTTGCTTGCCAATGAAAAAGAGTCTTGTTTTTCAAGAGAAGTTTGTTTTATCTGCCCGAACTACACCGATTTGATTCTCACAGGGTGTGAGATACGTAGGCAACCCTCATCGGGTCCAACCTCCCCTTTTTTCAGAAATAACCAAAATGTCAGAATTTTAATTTCATCATAAATGAGTCGGGTGATGCCACTTTTGTCAAATGTAGCCGAAGGTTCCCGAAAGGGACGCACCGGAAGGCTGACTTTGCATAAACAGCCGCTTTTGGTCATTTTCTGAATTTTGACCAATTTGCCCAACAACCTTAGAATCCTCGTCCCCGAGGCTCTGTGAGGGCGTGCTCCCAATGTCGGGCTACTATTTTTTTTTAAAGAAAAAAAAAGAAATAAAAAAGTCATAAATAAATCAAGTGATGCTGTTTTGTCAAAAATAGCCAAATGTTCCCGAAAGGGACGGCGGAAGGCTGACTTTGCATAAACGGCCACTTTCGATCATCCTTTAGAGTTTTTGATCGGTTGACCCTCACAGCCTTAAAATCTTTATCCCCGAAGTGCTGAAAGGCCGTATTTGAAAATCGGATCTTTCTTTCTAAAACATAGTCAAATCATCTTTGAGTCAAATAATCTTTTACTTAAATCACCTTAATAAATGTGCAGGATGAGCACAATGCAAAATGAACACTTTTCGATAATGGCTAAAGTCTCTATCAAGTTGCGGCTATGGTGGAATGATCTAGGTAGTGAAGGGCAAGATGAGGTCAAGAAATATTTGAAAGGTCTCACGGGTTTATCNACCCAGATTTGGCCGCAGGTTTCTGTAATCCGCGCTTCATATACGACAGATATGGTCATGTAGGCGGATTCAACAATCCGGTTAACAAGCTATGCAGCAAACGTAACCGTCAGAAGTGGGATGAGCATAGACGAGTGGCTTTCATGATAACATTTTTGGGCCTTTTGGTGTTTCCGAGGAAAGACGGAAACATTGATCTAAAAATATCCGGGGTCGTCAGTACTTTGCTCACTCAGAATGAAAGCACTTTCGCACCTATGGTAGTATCTGATATCTTTCGAGCTCTCACAACCTGCAAAACTAGAGGGAATTTTTTCGAGGGGTGTAATTTGCTGCTACAAATATGGATGACTGAACATCTCTGCCACCGTTCTGAGCTTTTGAGTTATGGTTCCTCGAAGAAGACTTGCATAGAAGAGTTTTACACGAGAATCAAGGAGGTCAGTCTACCTGAGGGAGTTACGGCATGGACGTCATTCTTTCGAACCCTCACCGCCAGCCAAATACAATGGACACTGGGATGGTTGCCTGTTGATGAGGTCATATATATGCCAACCGCTAGGACCCACTTTCTATTGATGGGACTTAAGAGCATTCAGCCTTACGCACCCTATCGAGTTTTGAGACAACTCGGGAGATGCCAGATAGTTCCACACGAGGAAGATCTTAGTGCTCAAGCAATTGAGATTAGCCCTGACGGACAATTCCCTGAAGCAAAAGTCCGCTAGATCTGGAATGAATGCCAATGTTTAAAAGCAGATACTTGCGTGCAGGATCGGGCCAAAGGTGAAGTAGCACCAGGGTACCTTGTGTGGTACAGAAGAGAACTTGAGCACAAAAGGCCGGCTAAAAGACCCCATATCCTGAATTTTGCCGAGTCATCACAGGAGCAATGGGATTGGTTAGCAAAAGAAAAAGTCAGCTGAAATAACAAATTGAAGGTCTAAAATTTGAGCACAACGTGCAAGTTGCTACTGATCTGGGAGAAAAGAACAGGTTGACCCTGGAAAACGAGACGCTTAGGGCCCAAATCCAGCAGATAAGGATAGCCGCTGATAACCAACAACGGAGCCGGTCGAATGAGCGACTGATAAAAGGTTTAAAAATGGAAATTGGTGAGTGCCGGAGTGAGTCGGAGAATCTTGAGAATACCATAGCAGGACTCGAGACACACTGGGCAAAAAGAACAGAAGAGCGCAACCGGTACCTACAGCAGTTGAAAGGGGATCACAAGCAAACCATTGCCAATTTGAAGAGAAAGGTGGCCACTCTTGAGGACAGAGCCGTTGAGCAAGCCCGAACCTTTGAAGTTGAAAATAGACATTGCTATGATTTACTGACCCAAATGGAAGTAGAAATTCAGCAGTGGCAGAATCAACATCTCTAGGATTCTCGGGTTTTGAAGGCCCGTAATGATCAAATAAAACGCCTACTCATAGAAAAGAGGCAGACCATGGATAGGATTAAGACCATTGCCCATGCCATCATTAGGAGGTGTCTACGATGCGAAGATATGACCCGCATTACCTTTTTCTCGGCAGTGATGATTTATGTCAAGCAGACCATGTATGAGCTGGAACAACTTGAAAGGGACCTCGCACCTAAGCCCGCGGTGAGGCCGAACGATGCCCCGCGGGCACCAATTCTTAAAACTTTAACGTATTTATAGGACGAGTCTGTATTTTCCGTCTTGGCGTCTTTTGTCTGTCTTTTCTCATCAGGGTGTATCAGTAGTTATTGAGTTTGTATTTATTTCAAGTCTGTTATTCTCCCTTTTTCAAAAATGTTAGTTTGTAATAGATTGTTTTAGTAATAAAAAAATGTTTCTTTATTTTTACACTTGTTTGTCTTGAACTACGTAATGATCTGATTCACGCGGCGTCGTGATACGTAGGCAATCCTCGTCAGATCCGGTCATGTTTTTAACTTCAAATAAAAAATATATATATATATATATAATAATAAAAAAAATAAAAAAATAAAGGGGAGCATAAAGAGAAGCCGGAATGACGCATGCCATCGATGCAAACATGTAGAAATTCATTTAACTGTATAGGTGCATCACACCCCAAC